AAAAGTGAAGTGATTTTGATTGGTTTTTTGGATTCCTTTAAAAAACCATGACTCTCGGTCTACCCTTAGCAGAGATAGAAGTGTTAAAAAATTCACCATTTCCCAGAACACTGAATTTTCCAACAAAACAGCAGTTAAGAGTATCTCAGGTCCCTTGTTCAATCATTTATTCCTCTCTCTTCCACTTAAGGATAACACTGTGGCATAGTTTTACATTTTGTGGAATTCTTGCATAGATGTTTGGGGCTGTGGGGGTGGGGGTGTCGGAGTCCTAAACCCAGGGCATGCTAGGCAAGCACTCTAGATTGAGCCTCATCCTCAGCCTGGATGATCTTTAATGTGCATCAGCATCAATAACACAGCCCTCTGCCTTTCTCCCAACTGTACCCTGGAGCACAAATACAATATGAGCCACAGATTCAATTTGAAAGCTTCTAGTGCCAAAAGTGCTCAAAGAAGTAAACCTAATTAAAAAAGTGTCCAAATGTGATACTAATTTCATAAATTTTATTTAAAATGATATAGTCAAAATATTATCACTGTAACCTGTAAACATAAAATTGAGATATTTTAACTTTTCTTCTTCATACTAAGTCTTCAAATTTTGATACGTGATACTAACCACATATCCAACTAGACACATTTGAAGTGCCTAACAGCCACACGTGTGGCCACCACACTGAACAATGTAATTTTGAGTAACTCTTCAAGGAACTAAAAGACTTTGTTTCTTTGGCTCAGATATCAGATCACAGTTTCTAATCATTGAAGCCATTTAAAAATGGAACAAGCAAACTTAGAAAAGGCTGAGAACCCAGTCTCTGAAAGTTGTACCACAGAGGCTGGGCAGCCTGCATGGTGTCTGCAGGCGGATGGCCATAGTGAATGCTTCTATGAGCCAGACGCTATGACACTGTACCAACTTTGCAAAACTAACTCTTTCACTGCTCACAACCACTCGTAGAGGATGCTACTGTGTCTATCTCCATTTTACAAAGGGAAACAACTGAAGCACAGGGTTGCTGAGTAACTAACTAAAATTACATAGATACTAAGAGGCAGAGCCAGGATTCAAATTCAGACAATTTGAACAGAGCTCACATTTCTGGCCACTAAACTCTGCTGTCTCTTTCCTTGGACTATAGAGGGGAAGAATTGGGAGTCAGGTTCAAGCATCTATCTACTACAGTGTATTTATCTCAGAAGATGCCACCTAACAGCAAAAGCAGCTACAGCAGTTGACAAACCCACTGCAGCTCATCCAAGTTTCACCAGCAATCACAGCAATGTTTATTCTCCTTCATTCCAGTGTTTGTGATGGCAGCAAACAGTAGTTGACTGTATATTCTGAAAGGGCCTGTGAGAAACACATAGCTAGAACCTGTACAAAAGGACACCACACAGTTATCCCTTGTGATTGGTGCTAGGACCTTAGAAACCCAAATCAACAGATTTTCAAGTCACTTATATGAAATGGCATGGTATTTGCACATAACCACACATATCTTCCTGTATACTTTAAGTCATCTTTAGATTACTTAAAATACCTAATACAATGTAAATATTTATTTTATTGTATTGCTTAGGGAATAAAAACAAGGGAAACACCTGCATATGTGCAGGAGAGATGCAGTTTTTTCTGAATGTTTTCTATCTGTGATTAGCTGGATCCACAGGTGGGCACCCCATAGATACAGAAGGCTGACAATATTCATTTTTTAAATGTGTGAATTAGTTATAAGGCAATATTGTTTTAGCTATTCCTTAATCTAGACAATGACTTGCAAACTGAGATGAGGTTTCAGATATAGACTCTGCTCTATAAACAGAACAGCACTGTTTTATACATCCAAGTTCTACCTAAGACTTCACGTGGGGAAAGGAAAAGGGAAAAAGTCATTAATCCAGGTATGCTGTAACTACATTAGAATTCTGATTTTCTGATTCCCCTTTATCTCTTAAATCTCTTCTTCAATACAGTTTGCAGCCAGAAACTCATATCTAATTTTCATCTGAGCTTGAAAACAGCTGAATTTTTTTTTTTTTTGTAAGAAGTTCATTACCTCTTTCCAGGATTTTTTTTTTTTTTCTATATCCACTGGTATCTCTACTCCTCTTGTCCCTCCCTCCCCATCTTCATTCTGTTCTGCTGTTGGTTCTTTTCCTAATTGCAAGACAATGGTGTCATGCTCTTCCCTGGAGTCATTTGGTGACTTTGCATCTCATAATAATGTTTTACTCACTCAAACAATTCAGGAATCTTTGCTAGAAGGCTAAAATAATTGTGAAACACTGAGCAAATGTATTAGGGACAGACCCTCATTTATCACCCCCAACCACCACTTCTGCTTTTGGTAGAAGATGAACTCTTGCTCAAGGTGTGCATATACAAATGAAAACCAAAGTGTTAGCTTGCTCTATCTCATCCTTTAATTCAGGAGCATCTATATCCCTTCAGTGTTATCTGCCACAAAATGAAAGCCTAAAATTGAGAGACAAAGGGACTTGGTCCTCTGTGAATGTACTCACTTAGAGCACATAGTCATCATTAAATGCAGACCCAACCTTAGCAATGGAACATCAATCTCTGACAAATGACACTTGACAGAAGACACTGATTGCTCTGCTTTATCCTTGGTGACAACAGTGTAGTCATGGGATAATCTCTCACTGAAAGAAACCATAGTGCACAGCAAGCAGTAATTACCACATGCATGTCCACACTCTCACCTCTCACCATTCACTCCAGCTCAACCTGGTGATGGGCAGGTACCTTCCAGGCCCCCAAGACTGGTTCTTTCACCTCCTTGATTTTTTAAAAATCCAGTTCCCCTTGCTAAGAATGACCTGACTTCTTTTCTCCCTGTAAGTCCAGGTTCAAAGAATGAAGGCTCTATTCACTCTTTACTTAGGCTTTCTCTCCTGGACCACAGCGGTCAGTGGGTGAACCGTGCACCATGCAACACCAGGGAAAACCACTACCCCTCAGGCCTGACCCTGAATTCTATTTGAGCACAGGCACATTCCAGTTCACTGTTCATGTAAATGCTGATTCTCCAGCTGTTCTAGGCGTGTCTTGAACACAAAAGTGCGCCTTACTAATCTATTCCATCAAGTCCTAAAACAGTATCTGCTACATTCTAGTTGCTCAATATTTTCCTCAGTGAAAAGTTGTTTTGTAAGACATGCAAATTTGAACAATTATAAGTTATTAGACGCAGCACTCCTTACTTTCCATACAGTATCTCGTCCAAGATTTACAATAGGCCTATGAAGTAAGCATCGTTATTCCCACTCCACAGGGAGGAAAACTGATGCCCAAGTAGTTTCAGTAACTTTTCCATGTCACCCAACTAGTAAATGACAAAAACGTAATCTGAACTCAAATTTAAGCCTACAAGGCCTAAAGACTATAACCACATGTTATACTGCTCCTGATGTATATGGATAATACTTAATCTAAAAGGCGAGGGGCCAGAAATACTCAGAAGTAACACTACTGGAGATCTTTTTATACATTTGATCATTGTTTTGGCAGTACTAGGGTTTGAACTCACAGCCTTATGCTTGCTAGGCAGCCACTCTACCACTTAAGCCATGCTTCCAGCTCTTGTAGATCTTTTTAAATGGTCTATAATTCAAAATTTTTATGAGACTTTAGATGGCTCTCCTGCCTGACCAATCTACAGTACTAGGGTTCTTCCTTTGTGTCCATGCACATACGGGCATGTGTTTACGTATGTGTACCCTAATGTGGTATCAATAAATAAAAGACAGTCAGCTCCTAATCAACAAGGTCAGGACATTTTATGTGTCTAGTCTGTTGTGTCAGCTCCTAGGCTACACATACTTGCCATTTAGGACAGGTCCCTCCACAGGAAAATAAACCTCAAAGGATGGCTCAGTCACTAAAACCAGAATGCAAACACAAAGAGCCAAAGTGTTCAGGTAGAACAGTGTCCCTGAGAACAAGTTGGTCTGCAAAGGATGCTGAGGGAAGCAGAGAATGCTCTGAACTCCAGTTGCCTTGTGCAGGTGGAGAAAGCACACAAATGAAACCAGTAATCATCACCTTTCTTGTCCATCACCTGTGGTCCTGGGCAATCACTTGGAGCCCACAAGAGCCCACGTCCTCCAACAATTACACAGCACTTCCTGGTGACCCAGGATATCTGAATCTCAGAGGGCTTGGAGTCACCCCACCCTGGCCACCACTCACCCATACCACCTACCCAGCAGCCAATGTGTCATGTGGCCATGAAGACACAAATGCAAGTCTGGATTTCTCACAAAAATCTCTTGCCCTGAATGTCTGGAAGACTGCAAAAAATAGGGCTTGCTTGTTACAATGACCTTCTGCACCAAGTCCCTCACAAAGAGCCACGATGTTGAGTGTCTAGATGGTCAACCTCAGCATGCTTGAAGCCAAAGCAGTCTCAGAGACAAAGAAAACAAGGACCAGGAGGGATCTTGCAGGGAATAAATCCCTGTACCAACAGCTCTCCCTCAAAGTCTCACTGGGCACGCTCACTTTAAATGCTTTTTCTCCTTTTCTTCTTTTTGAAAAGGAAAATACAGAAACAAACAGAAAGCAGCTGCATCTGTCTCAAATGTGGGCGTCTTCTCTGAAACTTGAGAGGCAGCCATAATGCCAGGATACCAGCTACCCACTCAATTGTTTTAAAAAGAGAAAATGACTTTGCTGGTCCAAGTCTCCTTTTAACCTCAAAACCCACCTCACTACAGGAAGCGTAAGGGAGCCCATCACCCCTGCAAGTTCTAGGCAGTGCCCTTGCTTCTGGCAACCTCAGCACAGGTCTCCTGATCCACAGAGAGATGATAAGATCACACATCACTCCATGCTGAGAATAACAGGTTCTTATTAACACATCAGTTGGTAAAAAATCACAGCGGGTGCCAAGAAACAGATGGCTAGTTCCTTTGGGGGGGGATTCTCCCAGTCCCCCTCACCACATGCACACCCACTCACGATGTCTTACCTCTCGCAGCTCCAGCCTCTGGGCCACCGCCTCCAGGCACTCCTGCCCTGTGCTTTCCACTGACAGGGTGCACTCGATGACATTGCTGTCCAACAGACGGATCCGGGTGACAAAGCAGTTCTTGCTCAGGACATTGTAGCGCCGTGTGCGGCGAAGTTTCAGACCGAAAGGCATGGCTCTGGAGCCCTGGTGCTCTGCCCTCCTCTCCTGGCACACACGCCCCTGAGGGGGCCTTAGCAGTTTCGTGACTGGGCAGTCACACTAACACCTGTGCTCCTGCAGGTATGGAAAAAGGTGTCCATGCCCGGCGTGGCCCTCTGAAAGACAGCTGCAAGTAGAAAAGAACAGTCTGGTCATGCACTGGAAGGGAAGCTGCTGATGGTGAGGCCCTGGCTGGTGTACACACACTCACACACACACACACACAGAGGCAGTGAACAACCAGGTTCCAGCATCGGCAAGCTCTACAGCTCCCCTGAGTCTTGGCAAAGCCTGTGCACTTCACCCTCAGTTGTAATGGTGATATGAAAAATGTCACTTTACCAATAGAGAGGCAGAGTTCAGAGAGGCTAAATAACTCATCTGTGGATGCACAGGGCCTATGGCATACCAATGTCTACACAACCACAATCCCCACGCCTTTTTCACTACACAGTACTGTCTGCTTACTCAAGAAAGCAGGAGGAGTCAGATTAGAACTTTTTTAAAATTTCTTTTAACATCTATGTACTTTTTCTCATTGTAATTGCATGGTGAAAATTTCAACATTTTACAGGTAAGAGTGAGGCTTGGTGATCTCCGAGCTCGCTCCTCCTCGCTCTGCAACGCTGCCTCCTTACCGTTAGCATTTATTTTTCCTTTTTATATTTTAACACTTATTTCTATTTTACTATTAACTTAGAATGGATGGTTTTAAATGGTGGAGATGTAAATTTAATATAGTCAGCCACTTCTCTGTTTTCTAAAATTAATTTAAAATACATGAGAAAGAATTTTGGTGCTGAGGACTGAACCCAGGGCTTTGCAGATGCTAAGCCCAACTCTATCACTGAGATACACCTCGGTGCCCCAAAATGTGTGAGCTCTTTAATGTGCCTAAAATCAAAACTCACTGTCCTTTTCAACAACCATTTAGACAGCTAGATGTGTGAACCTACCTAAGCATCATTTTATTCCTTTACAAAATGCCTGATGCAAAAACCCCGTCAACAAATTACAAATAATTTAACTTCTTAATAACAAGACTTACTGGCACCCTGTCACCCCACCAAATGAAAATAGCCACAGGATTACCATGGAGAATACATGAATAAAATAATAACAAAAGTGGCTTTACCATTTCACCTTCAGCCAGCAATGGTCTGGCCAGAAGGCTCATGAAACTTGTTTTTCAAAGAAGCCAGAGATGTCCAGCAAGTTTTTGTGTTCCAATAGTGTGTTCTCCATTAAGCTCAAAGGACCATGTCTTGCTCATCCGACTGGTTAACTGGATTCCCTAACTCAGGCAGATCCACCCAGGGTATAAAGACAGCCTTCATCCACCTACCAATTTAACATTATCGTTGAGCCCCAGGACACTTGGATGGATAACAAGGAATAACTACTATTTGCAGGAATTCTTCAGTTAATAAATAAAATGGCTTCAATATTTATAAACCATGTCCTGCCAGAAGCCCAGGCCTCATGGAGGTTGTCAGGGTACAACCCTACAACACAGCAAACACACCCCCGGACTCCCAAAGCAGGTCTTTGATACTTGCCCTCAGCACATTCCTTAACATGACAGGTATATGTTTTATGATGGCTTAAAACACAGATGCTAGAAACTCTGGCTTGGTAAAATATATTAGCATTTCTAAATCACTTTATGTTGGCAGTGAATAGTGTTTACCTCCAAGGTAGTCTAACTTGATCTCTTGATATGCACAGAAAAAATAAATAAATAAATAAAATGTGGGGACAGAATTTAAACACACAGTTGGAAAGTGTTTACTACTGACGAATTCCCCCTCAACTTACTGAGGCATGAGGCAGACAGGCCAAGATGAAATGCCTACACTAGTCAGAAAACCTCAAACTGAGAAAAATATTTGCTCTGTGGGCACGAGCCACATTTCTGATCCTGAGCCAGGCACTTTGCATTTGGGTGTGCCTCGCCTTAAACACCTATGAAAGAATGTGGCTAGCTTGGTGCAGGTTTGCCCTAGCAAAAACAATGTCTAGGTATATTCCATGGGGTGACATTCCCAATGCATAGCTATGAAACAAAAGTAAACTGCACAACCATGTGTGCAGACAACTGCAGTTCTTATAAACAAAACACACAAATAGGAAAAAATGTGAGTTCAACAAAATTATCTCAGGGCTGCTTGCTGATACTAAACAGAACTCTATAATTCATCTGTTTCTAAACTTTTTGAATGTTTTACAACTGCCTTATATTTATTTTTGTGCATAAAGATTATGTTACAGTAGATAGACCAAGTAGAATATAAAGAATAGTCTTTATGTTCATGGCTAACAGAGAAGCTGACTGTAAATCTCCTAGAATATACTTATTTTGAGTTTTTAAAAGCTTTCCTAGTCTTCCATTTGTAAGAAACTTGCATGATAAGGTTTTGACAAAAAGTTATAAGGAAACTGTTTTGGTCCTTAAAGCAAAAGAGATTCAGGATTTAGGAAGATAAAATGCAATGTGCTGATCTTGGTTAAATTTAGGCTTCAAAATAAAATAGCTACAAATGATCTGAGTGTAAAATGAGGGAATTTTTAAAAGATGGGAACCAGCAGAAGCAGGAGGAAGAGGGGGGAGGGAACGAATATGATGGAAGTACTTCATACTCATGTATGAAAATAGAACAATGAAACCCATTAAAACTGTTTTAAAAGGGGGAGATAGGGGATAAGAAAGAGTAAGAGAGGGTGAACTTCATCTAAATAAGTTATATGCATGCATGGAAATATCACAATGAAACCCTTTTGTACAATAAATATATGCTAATAAAAAACAAAAATTAAAAAGATATATAAGATGATTAAGGAAACTTGAAATAAAAAATAGAAAGCAGACAATATGAATGTATGATTGCTCATTTTCCTTGTTTTTTGCTTGTGGAATGGCTATGTAGGAGAATGGGATTCGAAGCTGTATTCAGGGTAAAAACACTGTGATACCTGTAACTTACTTAAAATGCATGCAGGTACTCATTACACTGTTGTTCCCTTTTCTGTATGCATAAACATTTTCACGATGAAAAAGTTAAAGAGAAGGCACCTCTCCATGCAGGTATGAAATGTGCTCTACCTCCTCTTTAAGGCTCAGTTTTAGTCCTGCTGCCTCTTTTAATGAACTCCTCCAGCACAGGGAATGTTCTCTGTCTGAACTCCCATAGTCATTTGTGCTTATTTTAATCCACTAATCTACAATTAAAAATACTAGCACACTTTGACTCTGCACTGTCCCAGAGCTAGAAACATATTTTTCTAACTCTTAACACACATCATCTTCCTAGTTGAAAAGCCATGTACTCCCAGAACTAGCCTAGCCAAAGAGCTGTGCTTCTGGAAAGAACTTTTAGGCACTGGCTGGAAATAACCATTACCTTTAGGAAGTGCTACACCTAAATTATTCCCAGGTAAACCACCTGTATGACACTAACCTGTAATGATAGGGTTTAGAGAGCTCTTGATCCTTTTTAGTTTTAACATTTTATTAGTCGGATATTTATCTACTATTTTTAAGCTCTCAAAGAATCCATTGCACACATGTCAAATTCTACCTTTTACCTATCCACACAGGTAGATGGTTCTGCTTCAAGTGTAACTCAGCTCCCTACATGTCCTGGACAAAGCAAGAATGAAATGATCCCAACACACTGTGGGCTTGATGTGAAATTTACTCCCATCACCTCTGTTTTGTTCAACAGCCTGCAGAGGTGAAGAGAAAGAGGGAGAATGAGAGAGAGGAAGAATATTTCCTTCAGATTCTGTCAGAGTATGCTAGGTTTGCTGAAAGGATAGTGACTCAGTTGTGCAAAGAGGAACTTCACTACCTCACCAGGTATCATGGAGAAAGTCCTTTAAGTAGAAAAGAAAAGAACTCAAAAGAAAGACCAAGTTTAACAAGAAGGATAATCTCGTGGGATTGACCAAGTATAAAGTTGAGCTATGAATCCTCCCAGCCCAACCACTGCTACCTGGTTAGCCCACAACTCTGACACCGGAAGCAAAAGTGAGCCAATCATCACACTAACTGTCCCTTTAAGAGCCCATCCTGAGTGAGGAAAACAACTCTAGCTACCATATAATCTTAACCAATAACATGTGCACAGTGTCTAGTGTTACCAACTGTCTGTTTTATTTTTTTCCTTTTCCAGGAGAAAACTTATTCCAAATTGCCTTTGATCTTACAATCCATAAGGGTGTGTCACTACAGCTTCTGCAACATGCCCAGCCTCTCTCATACCAGTGACTCTCATTGGATCACCTCAATTAGAATCCTGAAGGGAAAGACTGTGTCAGTCAACTTTGTGTGTCCTATAATCATAAAATGGAACTCTGAACAAAGTAGGGAGCTAAAGGAATGTTTGTCATTGTGATGAAAGGGAGAAAAATGACCCCTGGGAGAGCTGAGGTTTTTGATGCTGAAGCAGGGCAGGAGCCTCCAGTATGACTTCAGTAACTCTTTGGATCACTGGAAGAATTTGGAGCCTTAAGAAAGAATGCTGAGGTCAGAGGTGGTGGTGCTGCCTGTAATCCCAAGCTATAAAGGAGAAGAAGGTAGGAGGATCAAGGTTCAAGGCTGGCCCTAACAAAAATGCAAGACCCTACCTGAAAAATAAACTAAAAACAAAAGGATTAGGGTATGCCTCAAGTGATAGAGCACTTGTCCAGCAAGTACAAGGCCTCAGTTCAACAGTTCAGTTCCCAGTAATGCCCCCTGTCCCCACTGTGAAGAACAGAGATGAGAGTAAGTTAATCAGCTCACCGGTGCTTTAGGGAGAGAAAAAAATTGAACCGGGACTGCTGAAAGAAACTCCCCACCTCCACCACCAAATCCCCAAGCTTTCCTTTTCCAACCCTTGCTGTGTCTTCTACTGGGGAGGTGGGGTCCTCACAGATAGAGAAATGACATCCCATTCAAGTTCTTTGCTAAATAAATAAGTAATAAATAATAAATAAATAAACACATACATACAATGGAATTACTGGTGGGATGCAAAGTATTTCAGTGCGTCCATGACAGCTGAAAGCAATTGTTGGGTTATTTGCTGTGTAAACACCATACTTAAAAGGCTTTTTGTAGAATAGGCTGCAGTGGGAGAGAGC